ACTTCCAGTTCCCATCAAAAAGCAGGCGGACCGCCTTGAGCAGACCTTCGAGTAGTCCATCTGCGCGAGGACGTCGTCAATGTTCACAGTCTTGGTGCCGCACTTGTCCGCGCACACGCATGGCGGCCCCACTTGGGATGCGTGCAACTGGGACATTTTTGATGACCTCGCGCACGTGTTCGCACCCCGCCGTAGTCGCACCTACACGTCTTATCGAGGTCGAGATCGCCCCAGCGGTCGAGCTGGTCCCGACTCAGCCTCCTCGAAGAGGCAGAACGTGTCGGCGCAGGCCGTGACATGGACGCACCCCGCGGCGCACCCGGCGGCGCACCCGGCGCAGGGATCACGGCTCGGGAGCTCCCGGGCTGTCATCATGCGGTAGAGGACGGCGCCGAGGGCCCAGTGCTCGTCACTGAGGGTGTACATGCGATGATTCTGCGGTTCATCAGCGAGGGCATCCAAGCCAAGCAATCGTGGTTCTCACCTTTTGGCCATCACGGGTGTACTTGTCCATCGACTTTCGCATCTCGACGAGGCTGACCTCGCGCGTCGCTTCGAGATGGCTCGGCTCCGCGTGCGGTGCCATGATCTGCCCAAAAGCATTGCTTATGGTTGGCTCGCCCCGGGCGCCCTTGTCGTGCCGCGATGCGGGATGGCCCGAGACGAATGCCTGTCCCCAGTGGCCGAGCTTGCACTGCCCGTACATCTCGGCACCGCGCGGGTTCTGGAACAAGATGGACGCCGGGGTGATGGCGCGGTGTAGGATAGGCATCCAGTCCGTGTCCGTTTTGGTCCACATGTGCGTGCCCGCCTTCCAGTCCACGTTGTGGCGGTACCCATCGTGCGCCCAGGCGAGGGCACGCATGACCGATGTGAGGACGTGCCAGCAGAGTGACTCGGGCATGAAGACCCTGCGGTTCTTCACCTGGGGATTCTTGTCGACGAGGAGAGGCTCGAGGTTCCCAGCATCGCAGTTGTCCCAGACGAGATAGTCCTCTGTTGCCTCGACATCGCTGAAGGGTTTGGCGTTGAGCGGCTTCTGGCGTAGGTAGCCGGCTAGCGAGACAATGTTCTCGTGGTTGAAAATGTGCGAAATCTGCCGACCAAAGTTGAGTTCGTAGACGAGGTCCAGGAGGCCTTTGGCATGGCGCTGCTTGGTCGTCAGGAAGCCGGGATTTTGGTGTTGTGACTTGTAGTACTCGTCAAAGTCAGTGATCCGCCTGGCGACGAATACCTCGCCATCAGCGTGTCGCCGCGCAAGCCATCGCGACTCACTCAACTTCTTGACGAGCTCAAAGTCTTGAGGCTCCTCCATCGGGTGGTCAGTGTCGGATTGCATCGTCAGATACTGTTCATCAGGAGACGTTGTCGCTTTGGGGGCACTTTGTCAAGTGTAAACGCCTTGTGAAGGCCATCAAGAGGAAGCTCTGCCACGAACATTGCTGAATAGGAAAGCAGCAACATATGATGGAGAAGAGAGCGCGACTGAGTGGTCAGACAAAGACATAGAAAGCTGGCGCTGGCCCTTTGTCTGGGACCTTGGGACAACTATTGCCAGCGTCAATGATGCCTTTGTCTAGGTTGACGTTGTAAGTCTAGCACGCCCAGCCATGAACGGAACGTCTGTTCCTGGAGGCTGTAGGCCACAGTCATCGTCACATGAGAGACATGACTGAAAAGTCGTCATCAAGACAATTGGCCCTCCTTGCAGTATGAGGCTGGGCTGGTGAGCAGCACTGTTGACGAAGTTACTTCCTGTGGTCGTAGTTTGCCACGAGTGGGAAAATGAGACGTGAGACATCAGGCTGGATCCAAACGAAAACACATTTGCCTCTGTCGAGTGTTTCCCTTGGCGTCTAGCCAGAGGCGCTTTTCTTTGACTGGTGTCTCTTGACGTTTTCTTAGGAATGGCTGCAAGGGAGGCAACCCAGAACATGGCATAGCCGCGCGGATCATAGTAGCTTGCCGAAACAGGACCCAAGAAGCCCCCAGCAATAAACATGGTGTCTCAGAGGAGAGCGGTCACGTTGCGCAGGCCCCAGTTTCGTCATGCGACAAGCGGGGGGCGGATTATATCGGGGATGCCGTCTGTTCTGTTCTCGTGCGAGTCCAATCCCCCCTACTGGTTACTTCGGAGGTAGACGACCAAAGGTTGCACTCGGCAGATACCGTTTCGGCCAGTAAGGGGTTTTTTGGGTTTGTCTTTGGCTCGGTCAACGGGCGCATTTGTGCAAAATCGGCTGCGTTCATTCGCGCCCTCGCTCGAAAAGCGACCTGTGAACGCGTGGATAGGTACTATACTGTGCAGCACAAGTACATGTACGTGCCGCGACGAGCGGCTACCCGGCACCTGGTTCGGCAGCGGCTACGACGGCTGTCCCAGAAGGCAGGCCTCTCGACGTCCAGCCAGCTGCACGCGAGGGTATTGGCGTTGAGGGTATTCGGTTGGCTCACGATGGCCTCTTCGAAGGGGGACAGCCTCGTAGCCGCCACAAACACCGCAGCACCCAAACCTCGGGAGGCCGACGATGATCTTCCTCGAATGAATGATTGAAAGGGAACAAAGGCAGCATGTGGAAGGGATGACAGGTAGCGGCTACGAGGGGCTAGTGGAGATGCCAAACGGTGGCCCCATTTCCCCCAAATGCCACTATGCTCGTCTGGGCGCTAGCGTCGTGTACCTGCGTCGAGGCCCTTCTGATTTGACGAGGGGGTCTTCAGGGCCCAGGCCTCAAACCACGTCCAGACAATGAAATGCCCGCTGACGAGGTGCTCACGACCAATGGTGGGCCCCCAGGTACAGTGCTCCTTTCTTCCTCAGGGCCTTCTCTCCAGGACCCTTCCGTTCTGGGGGACTGCTT